ATCACCAATCTCTGGCGGATAGGAAAGTCAGCCTATACGCTAGCTAAATTTTTTGCTTTGATCGAAGCCCTAGGTCACTTTACTTCTGTCCCATATTTTAGTCTGCTGACCCTTAAAGTTTTTGAAATTTGCTTATCTCCCTGGAGATGATGCATCCAATCCTGCGGGATCTTTAACTCCGCTATAAAATGAATTCATGAAAAGACTGCAGGCATTAAGCTTGCGGCAGGCCAATTCCATATATATGCTGGTGGCATTACCCTGATGTCAGCCTACGATTTCCACTCCCGAAGAGCATAGTGTTTTTGATGAACTAGGTTGTCCAATCAATTGGTTCATTCCTTAGAGTTGTAATTATCGTGTTGTAACCCTGATTAGGACATGACACCCCGCGTGATTATTAACTGTGAACTTGGCAACACGAAATTTCAACTATATCAATAAGAATTTACTGTCAAGTGGATGGACCAAAAACACCATCGTCGCGCGCAGAAGTTCTGCTTACCGGGAGTTCTAATAGTCTTTTTAGGCTCCTATGGGTCCGTCATGATACCTCAGCCACCAAGGTGTCTGAGGTTCTGCAGTGTGAATTGTACGAACCTCAGTAGTGCTGCTCCAACGCCCAAATCACCCTTTTATGAAGCACCACCAAGACGACCAGCCCAAAATTTGTATCCGTACAATCCGTCCGCATCTCATTGTGTCTCTTTGAATCTCCGAAATTCTTCCTTCACCGTAGAAAAGGGATATAAATCGAACTCATTTTGTTATCTGTTAGAAACCACCAAGTACAATCCACCATGCGGAACATCAGTTTGCCTGACTGTTCAGTTATGGTCGTAGCCGTATTACGCGAGGATCAGAAATGGTTTTAGGTGGTTATAGCCGTCCCAATGTCTGCCGAAATGATGTAATGCAAACCATTTTCATTGCAAGTGACCTCGATCTATACTTCCTAGTCACGTTTTTTGGTAGGATACACAGCTTGTTGTCCGCTTAATATAATAGCTCTTCATCTTCCAATTTTTTTCATTCTGTTCCGTTGTCTCAGGTAGGGTTCGTGTAAATTAATTTTGCGGTGAATGGTTTTTCCTGTTGCGATAGGCGCAGTATACAGTGAGTCACATGCTTTCATTTGACGCGTCTACTTCACATTTAATGTGGGCTTTTTTATGAGTCCTTATCTTTGCGCCACACTAAATCTTTTTTAACCCATCTATAGTTTACCTTCATTACTACTTTAGTGCCACTCTTGCATTTAACTACTCTGTATCCGGTTTATCTCATTGCGGGTTTTCTCTGACTTTTACAGCGGGTTCTATGAGTCTTGCTGTTTTTGGGCATCCTAGCGCAGCTGGACTTTTTGATGTTATTTTCCGGGACTGTCGTCCGCATCAACACTTTTTCTAATGCCATTTGTTAATGTTCCGCACACCCCGACTATTCTTCCGACGTCGGTGAATTTTTAGCAGCCGCTCCGACGGTCGATTGCAAGCTGCATGTACGTTGGGATAAAATGTTTAATTAGCCTTAAAGCGAACTGAAAGCCATTCACCTAATGTTGCACTGCAGACATCATGGGCTAGCCTAAGCAATATGTTATTTCTACTGTTATATCGCTGCCTTTCCCAGATAGACGGGGTTCAGAAAAAATCGACACTGCAAGTAATCAGCCAGAAAGCCGCTCAGCTGACACGGCACTCAAATTTTATGAAAAATCTCTTCGCGAGAAAATGAATATTTTCTCCACTTTCGGATTTCATCCATTTGAAATGTCCTACTTTCATCTTATTCTTTCGAATTTTGGTCCAAATAAAAATGTACGGCGAGACATTTGGAGATAATTCTACATGAATTTTCGTCGATGCGCTGACCTAACCGCGTGTACCAATGCTTAAATGGCCGCGACGATTTTTCTCTATGTCTCTTTATTGATGTCTAGCGTTGGTCTGGGTATATTGTCTACTAAGCCTGACCCCAGCTAACGTGTGCGCCTACGCACATGCAAGCAAACTGCATGCCTCCTCTCAGCATTGACAGGTCCATTGAGTTAACATCTTTTACCGGTCTTTTCTCCAGCTTGCTCTCTGCTATTTACACTGTCGCCAATCTTGCTACAGTTTAGGGTTTAGGGGCTTCTCGCCAAAAGAGCTGCTTCTTCGGCTCGCCTTGAGTCTTCTCAGGAATTGACTATTTGCTGCGGTACCTTAGTCGCCTTTTACACCAGTTGCATTTTAAAATACACTGTGATGCAACCTTGAATCCTGAGTTGTTTATGAGGGTTGCAGACCTTCTGGGTGTTTCTGCTTTAGGCTAACTTTAATAGTTTAAGGTTTCTGAGTCAGTTTCGGTGTGGTTTTTGTTATCTCAGCGCTCGTCTACTGACCACCAATTTTGTACGCATTCTTTTAAAGACCTCTTTTTACGCGTGGTGCTCTTCATTGGATTCTGAAGGTTGAGCCTCATATGTCAGTAGCGTTTAAACATTTTATATACAGAGGTTGACGTAATTCGGGAAAGATGCCCAGGTTTACGAATAGCCACTAAACCGTCAGATACTAGTCCCAGTGCTTCAACTAACTACCTTCATTTAAATGTAAGCATAAAAGAAATATCGGAAATATTATTATGTTAGTTGGCGGCAATTTCTTTAAGGAAAGCGGAAATTCTGAAGCCGCGGAGGTCCATCTTATGTGCGTAAACTGCGTCTCTAGAAATATATAAAATCTAAAAATATAGAAAGCTCAGTAAATAAACCAATATAAGCACAGGTGCGTTAAGATTTAGTGGTCTTTTACTATGCCTGATATCTCTGTCCTATGTAAACTGTTGATCGTGTATTATGTGTCATTTGGCACAACGCTCGTTATCGTCAGTAGCCCAGCTGGTGGGCGTATAAAAAGGAGTTGAGTGAGACTTCAACCACAGCATGCGAGCTCGTCGCGCAATGCGTTAGGGCGTTGGACTTCTAACCTACAGGTTACGGGTT